ATTAGTCTCAACGTTAGCAGTAATTAAACAATATATTATTGCCAAAAATTAAATATGTTTTGTGAAATAAACTGATTCAAATTAAAATTGTTTCTGTTTTATCAACAAAAGTTTGATTTTGTGGTTTTGCTTTAATTTTCGTAATTTTTCAGCAAACGTGTTTGTGTAGACAAGCAAAATTGTTAAATTGTTAGAAAGGATGCATAAATGCGATTACTCATTTGCGAAACAAAGACACAAAATAAGAGTCTAGAGGTGTGACAAAGTTTGTCTCAACGTTGGTAGTAATTAAAAAAATGGCCTACTTGGTTTACTCTGATGCGCTTGGGCCATAAATCGTCCCCAATTCGCATTCGTCGTAATTGCCTCCTCAGGTCCTCCTGCAGACGATATAAATCCGCGGAAGCCCCCGTCACAACTGTTCTCTTCGCCGCTTTCGAATTAACACAGAAGCGAATGTGTCGCGCTTTACTTGTAAATATTTAACTCAGTGTCGGAGTAAAGCTTCAAGGCTTTCACGCGCCATTATCATAGGGAAAGAGTTAGCCATGTTGTCATTTCGTATCTTATCCTTAATTCAACATTTGCATCCTACACACTCTTCGCAATTTCACTCAACAGTTGAATTTTTCATTCATTGTGTGCCGATATATTTTTTGCCAAATCACACAAATGCGGGTTAAATAAATGTCTTGAGGGTGAGTGACAGAACGAGGAGGTCGTTAGGACCCTCGATAGGGATCAAGGCTCTCCAAGCAAATCGGACTATAACTTAAAAAGAGCGATGGCGTAGGCTAATACCGCAAAAAACACTTTTTCACTACTAGTTGTAAAAAAAAATCCACTATTTAGTATGTCAAGAGGCTGTAAAGCTCTCTCATAGTGGTTAATAATCAAAAACAATAATGAATTAGAGATGGTAAATACCGAAATAAAATTAAATAAACTTTCCCATTAGAAAACATCACCAGAATAACCTTATCTCTAATTTTCTGTCTTTGTCACAACTGTCAAAACAACAAATGAGCTTATTTCGTGTTGAAATACTACCGGTATTTTATTATTTTAACACTTTTTCTCTTTTCTTTGCAATTTCTATGTTATTTTAACAAATATTTTATATTGTGAGGTTAGAAATTTCCTCTAATAGATGCAGAAATAAAAAATGACATAACCTTATTTACGATAATACTTCCAACTTAAGTTAATAACTTGAGTAAGTAATGAATTAAGGTGTGGTTAACAATCAAAAACAATAATGAATTAGAGATAGTAAATACCGAAATAAAATTAAATAAAAAAACTTAAACTTTTCCATTAGAAAACATCATCAGAATAATCTTACTTCTAATTTTCTTTGTCACAACTGTCAAAACAAAAATGAGCTTATTTCGTGTTGAAATAKTACCGGTATTTTATTTATTTATTTAAGTTAATAACTCAAGTAAGTAGTTAATTACTGTTGGTAATAATGAATTAACAAAAATAATAGTTGTCTGAGGCAACATGCCCATTAAGTAAGGTTATATTCTTGATAATAAATGTGCTAGTAGTGAAAAAAATATTATATAAAACACGATAAAGAAGCTTTCTATAGCCTCGCATTTAGTATTTTTCTCGATGCTACGCACCTCGGCTTTAAACATTTTTTTTTGACTTTTTGTTATACTATGCTATTATTTTGGAGCCTATGTATTTAGTAAAAAATCACTATTAATAGGTAAAAAGAGAAATGATTTATTAAGTGAAATAAATTGCACTATTRCGACCCTTGAATTTAACTAGGAAACGCAAAGCCCCTAATAATTTTGACAAAATTTTTACGAATAAAAAAGTGTGAGGTCTGGATCTAGGTTTAGGTCTATAAAA